CGTTTTCTGGAATTTAAAAATATTCTGATATGTTTAAAATGACTTGAACCAGTGCTATCATCAACCGGTGTGGGTTTAACAGCGAAGGAATTGTTGTTGTGGCAAGGCGATTGGGTGCCCAGCATGGTAAAAGGAAATTGGATGAGACTTCAAGCACTTCACCCTCTTCCACTGATGAAGTCAAACATGGAGGCAAAGCTGGTCCTGGCATTCTTGGTGTCAACCTGGGAAAGAATAAGACAAGTGAAGATGCTGCTGCAGACTATGTACAGGGAGTTCATAGCTTGTCTCAGTATGCTGATTACTTGGTAGAGATTTTTCTTTTTTAATCATTACGAAAATTTCTTCATGCTCTTCTTGATGCAAATTATCCAGTAAGAAACTGGTGGTATAACTTTTTCATGTAAAGAACATAATTGCTATATTTTCTTCATAAGCTCAAGCGATTGTTTTCTATACTTACAGAAAACTTTTGTTAGCATTCATCTGTCTGCAATTATTTTTTTGTTTTAGTTTTCAGATTCTTTAGAACTAACTTCTTTATGCACTCTTTTGTTTAGGTAATTAACGTTTCATCACCTAACACTCCTGGCTTGCGTATGCTTCAAGGAAGGAAACAATTGAAGGATCTTGTTAAGAAGGTAAGAAATTCTAGGCTTGAACGTACTTCTTGCTCTGATGTGACTTTTCACTGATCTGATGTGGAAGTTCACTATTATGAGTTTGTCTTTTCATTAAGGTTCAAGCTGCTCGTGATGAGATGCAATGGGGTGAGGAGGGTCCTCCTCCATTGTTGGTAAAAATTGCTCCAGATTTGTCGAAAGAAGACCTGGATGATATAGCAGCAGTATGTTGTACTTTTATTTATTACAAATTCTTTCCTTAAAAATATGGGAAGTTATTTATTTCTTATGGTTTCACATCTGTGTTGTAGGTTGCTCTTGCACTCCGCTTGGATGGATTGGTATTTACTTCCTAGTAGAAGCTTTTGAATATTTCTTGCTTCGACAAACTTCATTAGAAGCTTTATCTTCAGTCATTTGGTGCTTTCCATTACAGTTTTTCATAATTATTCTGTCATTAGATGATCCCAGCATTTTGCCTTACCATAACTTAGAATTAAGTCTTAAAGTGTCTTTCACTTGAATCAGAATTATTATTTTTTTCTTGGCGCATTTATATTTTTTTTATGTTGAACTTAAAAATGTAATATGATTTTCAATTCAAAATAGAGACAGATAAACTTCTATCTCACTCACATTTGTTTTTGAATTAAAAAAAATGACAATTTATAAATAAGACATCGAGGAGCTGCTGCCCATAAACAAAAGCTTTACAAACAAGTTCATATTGGTTTGCCAATACCCTACCATTTCAGTGGTGGAGATAAATAAGTTTATTAAAGAAAATAAGTTATATTTATGAGACACTAAATGGCTATAGAAAGTTGGGTTTCATTGGAGTTGTGGGCTTGGTGATGTATTCGGACTGGTGTTTATCGAAATAACTCTTGACTGTCATTTCATGGCTATCTTTCGGTTGTTTGGAAAAGAGGAATCAGAGAGCTTTTGAGGAATTGAGTTCCTCCGTTTTGTAAAATTAGACATTATACTGTTTTTTATTTAAATATTATTCTTTTTCCTTGAGGAGGATTTAGAGACTTGATAGACATTTTGACTAACTTGTAACCCATTTATTTGTTAAAAAAAGACTTGTAAACCGTTATTTATATATGGTAATATCCCTTGGTGCCCTGATCTATGGTGTATAGTCTTATGGGTATTAACTGGGTGATAGTGGGTAGCGTTAGAGCTGACTGTGGGCTTGGGGTGGATTTGTAAAAATTCAAAAATTGTTAAGATTATTCTTCTTACAATGTTTTGGGTAATTTGCAAAGAGAGAAAAAATAGAGCGTTTGAGGTGTGTGTCAGTGATATGGCCAGTATTAGGTACAGGTGGATTAATGTTTTTAGGACTCTTATACTAGTTTATGACATTTATGGGTGGGATGATTTTGGAAAGGTTATTGGTGGCGTATACTATATACACATTCTTTTTAATCTCAAAAAGTATGCCTTTGTGCCTTGTTTACAGTATGTTTCTTTTTCATCTAAATTTTTTGCCAACAAGATAATATTAACAACATTACATGGAAATCATGAAGTTAATTTATTAAATGGGAATCATGAAGTTAATTTGTTAAGCTGTTATTTCTACCTTAGTTGTTCTTCAATAGCATTATCTAATGAAAATTTTGTTCAGGTATGATAGGCATTAAATTGTGTAGAAAAACAATATTTGATGCTGTTCTGCTTTTTCCTTTGGTGAATAGTAAATTGATGCTGGTTCTACATGTTAGTATCAATCTTTACTTCATTGATTGATGAGCCAGAATGTTCTATACTTAACTATATATGGACCATTGCTATGTGAATACCGTCTACATGCACTTATATCAGTTGTTTATCTTGGCTTTCACACTAGATCATATCAAATACAACCATTTCTAGACCAGATTCTGTAAGCAAAAACCCAGTTGCTGCAGAATCTGGTGGCTTAAGTGGGAAACCTCTATTTAATCTGTCCACCAGTATCTTGAAGGAGATGTACATTCTGACAAGGGTAAGATGCCTTTCTCTATAATATTGCAGAGTTTTTTTTCTCTTGCCTTATCCTTCAAAATAGACATGGATTGTTATTAAATTAAATGTGCCTTAAATGGACCCCAGAACTCTGTATTATATCTAAGTCTTCAAAAGTTTTTTTTTTTTTTTTGAGATAACTAGTCTTCAAAAGTTTATCTCATTTTTCGAACTTCCTTTACACTTAGAACATTAGAAGGTAGCATCTTATTTAAAATTCCAAATCAACTATTTGTTATGTAATATTAGGCACTATTTCTTTTGTAATAAATGAAGAACCAAATACCTCTGAGAAGAGTATGAACAACTAGACAAATGGTAGGATATGCTTAATAAAACTTGTGGAAGTAGGAAATGTGAAAAGACTTGGTCTGCAGACACCCGCAACAGCAAATCACTTTTGTCTCTAGCTAACCACTTTTAGGAGGATAAAGTTCTCCTGTGAAATGCTCGAGCATGACTAAGAATGATTTATGATACTTCGCATGATCTGGATTACCATTGGAACTCCACTTCTGGTAGTTACGGGAAAAAATTGGACACCCAATTTAAAGAACTAGGAGTTTTAGTCGGGGGCATTAAGTTGTGAATTGCCCTAGGTTATAGGATGAACAACTGAACCGTTTCTAGTAGTCAGTTGCATAAGAATGCGGATGATAATCCAGCCGCCCAGAACTGGATCCATCCTCATCAGCTTAAACTGCTCCCATATTTTTGCAGAAGTCCATTTATGAACACATAAGCTACCATATAATTCCTAATTTTTGTTCTTAATACCTCATTGCCTTTGAAACTTGTACAATCCGTTTAAACTCTTTGCTGCCATGCCAGGGAAAGAGCGCTCTTTTATTGGCATATTCACTTTTTAGTATCTAATAGTCTATGTGACATCTTTAGAAGCTTGACTAGTGTGTATTGAATTCATCTTTACCAGGGGAGAATCCCACTAATAGGCTGTGGCGGTGTTAGCAGGTGCAGTATGGTGACCAATTAATTATTATGATTTTCTTGGTCATCTATTGATCATAAAGATAATAACCATTCTTTTCTCCTTCTCTCTACTCTGTGGTTTGTATTTTATGTCTTTGGTTCAGTGGTGAGGATGCGTATAAGAAACTAAGAGCTGGAGCAACTCTTGTTCAGCTTTACACTGGATTTGCATATGAAGGGCCAGCCTCGATTCCGAGGATAAAGGTATTGTTTTCTAATTATGCTAATACTTATTACTTTAAGGAATATATAATTTTTCGTCTTTGTATTTACTTCCTTTGAAAAGATTAACTTATTATTGCCTATATAAGATGCACCAAGAAATAGCATTTAGGCATAGGTAATTCCCAACTGTTATACTGTTTGGATTTAAAAGGAGTGGCATTTTATTAATTATTCTGACCAAACTTTTTGTCATGGATCCTCTTTTCATAGCCTTGCAAAGTTGGACTTCATTAAACTTTTAAATTATTTGGAAGTGGAGTAATTATGTGACATCCTAATGTCACATAAAAAACACGTGCATGTTGAGCTTTATTTAAAGAGTTAGTAACTCATGTTTTATAGCTTTAGTTTTAGCTTTTGAGGGATAGTGTTTGGCCTTAAGGAAGCATCAAGAATTTGAATGATAGAGATCGTAATATTCTAGTTTCTTGTCAGGGTAGCTGAGTAAGTTTTGTGATGTGTTTTCTTCACACAGGCCGAGTTAGCTGAATGCTTGAAAAGGGATGGTTTTAAATCCGTTCAAGAAGCAGTTGGTGCTGATTTCAGATAGTAAATTCCTGCCACGGGATTCTGAAAATTAAGTTTTTCTTTTTCTTTTTTTTTTTTCTCAAAAATTATTCTTATAGAGGAAGTTTCCTCTGGCTTTCTTTTGTTCTGTTTCTTCCTTCCTAGAGTTCTACATGTGCCCACCCCCCGGCTCAACCTAGGTGAGATGGTTTTGTTGTAAAATATTTTATAGTGTAATCTATTAATCGGAATGGTGGGGAAATTTTTGGTTACAATATTTAGTCAGAACAGTTTTAGCAAATTTTTCATATGTAATGTGGAATCAATATCTGAACGGGAATTATCGACTGTGTTCGTGATGGACTCGAGGAGACATTGGTAGCTAAAATTAGAATAATACAATAATATCATTTAGCCTTGGTTCTTGGTTCAGTCCCAGTTCGCCTTGGTTATTGTTTTGGCAACCATAACTCTTTTTATATGAAATGTTTAATCAAGAACATGGCAGACTATTTTGTTATTATTTCTTCTCTTCAAAATTTTCAAGTTAGTTTCTCGAAATGTTACTGTATGATGGATATATTAGTTATTAATACTTCTACATTTAAAAAAAATAATAGTTATTAATACTTCAAAATTCGAATTCAAATCTAAATAAACACTGATATGAGCTATGATACTGCAAAGAAAGATGATGAAAGATAAGCTATAATCCCCATGTATAACTTGGTTTTTTTTTCTTGAAATCAAAAAAAAACTTATGAGCATTTATATGATTTATTTCTTAACTTTATTTATGGTTATACACTTATAGACTATTTTGTATATAATAATGTACCATCACATTTTATTGTTATTGGTAATTTATGAATGCTTATAAAGTCTACTGAACTCAGTATGTTACCCAGTAGCAAAAAAGAAGTTTTCTAACCAAAATTGAAATTTCTCTCGTAGTTGAGTCTTTTCAACATTAAAAGAGCAACTGTATATATTGATTTCCACGTTGCGGAAGAGCTCGGCAGCATATATGGCAAAGAGAGTAAATGTCAGAACTAAAATAGTTATAAATAAATTAGTTTAATAGAAATTTCTGATAATTATCAGAATGTGAGATTAAAGAGGTAAAAAGGAAGAGTAATTTTTTTGTTTACCAGCACTGTTTTTTTTTTCTTTTTTGAAAATAAAAAAATTTACCTTCAAAATGAGAAAAAAAGAAAGAGCTGTCTTGTCTTCTGCAAATTTTGAGATTCCGACAAGCCAGAAAACGACGTACCCAAAGACCGTTTACAGCGTGCTTTATGCGAGATCGAATATTTTTATTCTCCAAAATACCCTTTCATTTATTTTTTGATAACTACTTGACCATCGCTGACTTTTTCAACTCTCTGACTTTCTACTTCAATTTTTTTTATTTTTTTTTATATATAATTTTACTCTTGGGTCTTTGGAGGATAAAAGAGTGCTTGAAAATCCTCTCTAAAAAGCATGCTTAATTTTAGAGAATAAATATATATATTTTTAAATTATATAAGGTTTTAGTCTTGATTTTAGAGAATAAATATATAAATTTTTTATTTTAAAAATAATAAAATATTATTTTATTTCTTTAATTCAAGTTACGTCTTAATTTAATTCTGAATTGACCAAGATTATTTGATCAATTCGATTTTAATTAATTTGAATCTGTTGTGTTAGTTTTTTAGGTTTTTAAAAATTTTTAACTTAATGATCACCGTATCACCTTTTTTTAAAAAAAAAATTATTTTTCTTATCTTTGAATTTGTTTTTTTTTTTTTCTCAATAATTGAATCAGTACGATTTTATCTAAAAAGTAAAAACATGTTTTGCTGTCATATCCAACCCATGCTTCTGACATGATTCCAATGTTTCTTTAGATATCATAATTTATTTTTCTTATATATCTAGTAGAATAATTATACCTATTTTATTTCTTAATGTAATAATATATGTGTGTGTTGATCAAGCTAGAATGTTTTGGTGGTGAAATCAAATAAAATCTAACGTACAAATAATGCTCATTATAATTAAAATTATCAATTTCATATTTATTGTAATTAATTAATAAAATTTAAAACTATTTATAACATTTAATTTTAAAAAAAAAAAAATTAATGGGATCAACTGACTCGTTCAAGAACAAGGAAAAGGTAACCATAAATTTAATAAACATTATAAATTTTTTAATAATATAAGATAATATATAATATATATATACACATAATATATGAAATAATGTAAATGCCATCAATAATTTTCCAATGAT